TGCCCTGGCCTTCCCAGGGCTCACCAGCTTCCCAAGTTACTCCCAAAGTAGTCCCAGACTGGCTCTTGGAAGCTCTGTGAGTACCTGCGTCCCACAGTTTTCCAGTGGCTTGCTGTCCAGTCTTGGGGGATACGCTCAGCACACATAGCTGACCACCTGTGTGTGTTCTCGCTCCCTTCTTCCTGAGCATTGTTTAAGTATTTCTGAGACCTGCCTTGTCAACTCAGCAAGGCATCACGACCTGCTTAGCTCTTCCCAGCTCCCAGCCTCTGTGCAGTGACCACGAGGCCCCACTAGCACTAACCCATGACTCTTGACTTGAGACTCTTCTCTTGAGGTTCATATTGCTCAATTTTTAAAAAACAGTTTATTCATGCATTTTCAGTTTCAAAGAAACCACTTCTCCTTTCCCCCCTTTCTTCCTTTCCCTTTTAGAGATAGGATGTCCTTGTGTTGGGATTGGGGACTTCTCTATGTAGTCCAGACTGGCCCTGAACCCAAAATCCTCCTCTGTACCCAGAGTACTGGGACGGGTATGTGCCAACATGCCAGACTCTACCAGTTCTCTTTTGATGAGCACGTACACTGTTATAGCATGCCCAGGGGTCTCAGGGCAGCCATGTTGTTTCTATCATGCCCAGGGGTCTCAGGGCAGCCATGTTGTTTTTAGCATGCCCAAGGGTCTCAGGGCAGCCATGTTGTTTCTATCATGCCCACGGGTCTCAGGGCAGCCAAATGCATCACTACACTGGCACTCCTCATGCTTGGCTATCTATTCTTGGATCAAACTGGGAGCTGATTTAAACATACGACTGACCTACTTAACAAACAACTTTCCAGCCAGGTTTCCTTGCAGGGCAGTTCCAACAGGATAGGGCTGTCCATTGAGCTATAATCCACTGTCCTCGGCCTTCATGGGGTGGCTGGTATTGAACTTCAGGATGCTCCTTCCAGGGGGTGCTCTCCCTCTCCTTCCCAAGACAAGCACCCTTCTCTTCCTCCTCTCTGTCTTCACAGATGCCTTTCCCTCTCTGTAGGAGGCAGATGCTGCCCATGCCTGCCTGATTTAGAACCCAGGGCCTTTTACAGTTCCCAGAAGCTTCCATGTATCCCAGAAGGTCAGGGGATCCAATAATTCATGAACAGGAGGCTCCTCTCAACAGGTCCCTCTTCTAGGGCTTCTCCTTGAGCTGTCCTAGGAGTAGGATTGGGCAGAGGCTCACCTCTGCCATCATGTCTTGGCTCAGGGTACCTCTGTGTGAAGTGAGAGACTGGAAGAACCCAGGGATATTGTGAAGGCTGGAGAACACAGACAGGTTGGTTGTGAGTGTCCTTGCTACTACAGGGCCAGGGAAGCTCCAGGGAGGAATACACAAGCTAGAGAGGCAAGTGGAGTCTCTGGGATAGCAATCAGATAAGATAAGATAAACAGGGACAACAAGGGGGATATGAGAATGGAACTGAACCCCCAAAGGCACAGAGAAGTGGACATAGACTGTGGCTGAGCCAACAGCAGGCACTGGTGAGAAGCACCCAAGGGTCAAGGAGAGGGGAGGCTGTGGTGTTCTTGTAGCTTATTATGTACCCCTAAGCACTGCCTGGACACAGGTGTGGATTGAGGGTGTATTTATGGGCCCAGGATGGGACAGCACGGCAGGAGGGAGTGGATTCTAGGACTTCTATCTAGGTGGGTTCCTGGAACCCAGGGCTCATAGGAAGTAGCCAGAAAAGTCAGGTGTGGACAGTTGGTTCTAGGTAGTCCCAGAGGAAAGTGGCCAAAAGTAAACAAGGGCAAGGCAGAGAAGAGAGCTATTGTGAACAGCAGACTGGATGTGGCAAGGTGTCTGTCTGAGGCAGCAGCTTAGAGCTTGGAGCTAGAGTCTGATCCAAAGACCAAGAGCGGCTGTCACGCGCACTTCTGCTTCAGCATCTGAATCCTGGAAAGCCCCGGGCTGCTGATCTCTGTCACGGCTTCCTGACTATCCGGTAGACCCTAGATCTGTGTTGTCTTTGTAGATCTTGGCCTCCCTTTCCAGTCCACCTCCACCAGGACAGCTGGAGCAGGAGTCCTCCTCCCCCTGGATCTTACCCATCCCAGAACATCTCTGGTGGTTAGCCTTCTCCCTTCTTATCTCTTAATGATTCCCTCCTGGATGACCTTAGAGTCCATTCCTCAGAGCTAGCTACTCTATCCACCCTCCACACAATACACAGCTCTCAGTGCAGAGTGTCTGTGTTCATGGCTGGCACTAATGGCTCCCAGCATGCCTGACCTTAATGTTCAACTTATGCCCTTAAGAGAGAATGCCCTTACGTCTTCTTCATCCTTCAGAAGCCCAGTTGTCATGTACAGCCCATAGGAGTCTTGAACACCCACCCAATCATGACATCTGGCTCTTAGGATAGGTTTCCTCTCTAGGGTGAGGAGAACACTAGGACCTCACCTACATCTTCTAGGACTGACTGAGATCAAATTTGTTTCTTCCAATTCGCTACCCACACTCATTACAAAAGAAAGAAGAAATACCATGGGGAAATTCCAGATACTGGAGGCCGTCCTGATGAGGGTCAGCACACCAGGGTGACATCAGCACTACAGAGATCAGGGTGGGACTAGGGGAAGTCCTCTGGAGGATAGCTGAGTGACAGGGATAGGATTTGGGGAGAAGCTGTGTCTTGGGTCTTCTGCCCCTGTGGAAGTCAGAAGCTTTGCATGGGCATCTGTGTCTGTGGTCAGATCTCCTCTGCCTTAGCTTCTCATCCGCAGCTGGGAGAAGAGCTGCGCCCAGGGTGCCCTCCACAACCCTTGGACCAGGTGGGCACCTGGAAGGAGACTGGGCTGAGGGCCTCTGGGCTCAGGGTCTGGATGGGACAGCCAAAGGGATGAGTATGGTTACAGAACAGATAGAAACAGGAGGCAAAAGCCCAGGCATGTTGGCATCCCTCCATCTGTCAGGTGGCAGAAATAAGGGGACGAAGCCAGCAGGTGATAGCCAGTAGAGAATGCTTTGGTGGTGGGTAAGACCCAGAGCCAGTCTCTGCTATCTGGTTTTGTCACTGGGGGCCTGAACAAAGCCATCTGGCGATTGGCATGGGACAGCCTGGGTTAAACAAGTAGGTCACCCTTAGTTTTTATTCAAGAGGTGATGAGGTAGTCCTACACAGTAATCCTTCAGAGATTAAAGAGCAGAAATGCACCTCAGAGAAGACCTCAATGAAGACATGCTGTTTAGGCCCATATTCACCACGGATAATATCTAGGGGACACTGACCAGCTTTCTCAGACCCAAGGCTTTTATGCTGGTGTCTGGTGGTGGAGGGATGGACAACTGGGCATTCCCCACTCGACCAGACACTACATGGTGCCCATAAGCCCTGTGTATCTTCCCAAGAGGAGGATGATCTTGGAGTGTGGATCACTGGGGATGGTGGCTTGGGAGCCAGGTGGAGGTCTTGTGGGGCTGTACCAGGTTCACCCGGATCCTCTGGCTTCCCACCCTGGGGCATGTCTCAGAGAGCCCACAGACATGGAAACATGCTTGTAGTCCAGAGCCTTCTGTGTGTTCTGAGGCACATGTGAGCTGTAGGGCTTTGGCCGTTTCCTAGTGTTCACCTTTAGGATGGGGTACAAGATCTGCCTCTTCACTAGAGACCCCCACATCACTGTGTTGGACAGTCAGAGGCTATCCACTCCGCATCGTCTACTACAGAGGCTCACAGATGACTGTGTGGGACAGCCTCTGTAACATACAGTGGATTCTTTCGTGTCCCTTTGAGGTGGGTTTCTGGAGGACTGTGGACTAGAACACTGGCTAGTTTCATGTCAACTTGACACAAGCTAGACTCATCTGAAAGGAGGCAATCTCAATTGAGAAAATGCCTTTATAAGATTAGACTGTAAGGCATTTTCTTTATTAGTGACTGATGGGGGAGGGCCCAGCTCATTGTGGGCAGTGCCATCCCTGGGCTGGTGGTCCTGAATTTTATAAAAAAGCGGGGTGAACAAGCCATAGATAACAAGTCAGTAAGCAGCACACCTCCATAGCCTCTACATCAGCTCCTTTCTCTAGGCACCAGCCCTTCTTGAGTTCCTGTCCTGATTTCCTCTGGTAATGGACTACAATATGGAAATGTAACCCAACCAACCCTCGCCTCCTCAAGTTGCTTTTGGTCAAGTTGCTTTTGGTCATGGTGTTTCATCACTGCAATAGTAACTAAAACTTGAGTCAAGACCCAAGAGAGCTGTTGGTGGGCCAGGGCCAGGTGTCCTCTAGCCTGGCTCACAGGGCTCACTCAAACAGGGTGTGATCTAGGTGTGGGCAGGACTAGATTATGAGGAAAACCAGTCCAGGGCTGGGGTGCCAGCCAAACCTAGGAGGGTGGTGACCAATTCAGCTGGATGGAGCAATCATATGTGGTTAGTTTTAACGGTCAGTAGACGGGAGAGGCAGTAGCACAGGTCAAAGAATCTTGAGGAGTTTGATTTCCTGTGTCCCTCTGGAGTTGCTTAGTCCTCTTTGGAGTGACCAAGCCAGCTCAGTCAGTCAACGGGATCTCAAGGGAGGGAGGGAGGATTGAAAAAGAAAAACAATTAGACAACACTATAACACGACTCCAGCACGTACCGAGGCTGAAGCAGCTTTAGTTCTCCCCAGCCTGCTTTTATATCATTCTAGGTACGTTAAAAAAAAACAAAACAAAACATGGTCAGTTCTTAGATCAAAGACAAAGTAATCAAGTGAAGTTTTAAACAAGGAGGTCACACAGGATAGTGATTAAGTAAAGCAGTAGCAAAGAGATCACATACGGTAGTAATTCAGCAAAGTAGTAAACAAAACCCCATGGTCACTGTTTCTGATATTCTTATCTGAGCCGACTTCCTGTCTGAGCCCAGTGACAAATCCCAAATTCCTAGAAGCAGCACCAAAAGCTCTCAACAGCCTAGGTCTATAGTAGGCCCCCACCCCCAGGCTTACTGAGGCCCATGACCTCAGAGAAGCCCAGCATACTACCCTGTAGTCCTCCTTGAAACCTCCATCCTCATCTCCATCTGCTCTGCCTGGTCCCTCTCAGGGGACAGTTAGAGATACCCAGAGCCTGCTCAAGGATGATAAAAAGCCCTGCTCCACCCTTAGAAGATAAAGGTTGGCTCCTGTTGCTAGGGCCATTTGTGCTCAGAAGTGTATAGGCTGAAGAACCGAGCAGTGAGCAACTGGTAATGGGGATATCCCAGACGTGGTGTCTGGGAAGTGACTAGAAGCTTCTAGGGGAGGGTCCTGCGAGAGGGGTGTGTTGTGAGGTGGGTCAAAAGATCAAGTTCCCAGTTCCCTGAGGCTGAGAGGTTCCTATTTCAGTCTGTCAGAAAATTCAAGGTGTTTGCAGTGACCTGGGAGAAAGACATACTTCCAGAGGGTACATATACGGGCTGGAAGAACTTGCTAGTGTCCCTGTACTGTGTTTGAAGCAGAGGCTCTGTTTGGACTTTGAGGAGCCCTTCCAGCACTACGTCCCGGGTGTGCTTAGTACGCCCCATCTGCCTCTAACAAAGCTCAGTCAGAAAAACTACGTTTCTCTTTCACTTTCACTCATGAGAGTGTGCGAGGAGCTCCAGAGCCCGTCGGCCTCCTGGTCTGTAGTGTCTTGATCAAGAAAATGGAACCTCTCCCAGGATGGGGGTCGTCACCCTGGAGCCAGGCCCCTACAGACAACATCTTCAGGCTGGTGAGTTCCTGAGCCCTTTACAGCTTCCAAGCTCCAGCCACAGATCACCCCAGACATTTCCTGTTCCTTAACTCTGTCTGGGCAGCTAGTTCTTTGTTGCTGGATTTCTAAATCCCTGGAGATAATTGAGAACAACTTCAGTTTGGGGGGCTACAGGCAGGCTAGGCCCCTGCCCCTCCACCTACGGGCTCCGCTCACAGACACCTGCTGTGGCTCTCTTTCAAGGGTAGGAGGTGGTGCCATGGGCATAGTAGCCCTTGGCAGACCTTTGGCTGTCTCTGGACAGCCCCTGTAGCAAGAGGCCAACCACATGCATCTCTGTTCTTGAGGATAAACACCTTCATATAGTGGAGACAGAGATCAGGGTAGGCTAGCAGGAGCCAGAGCGTCTGTTCTGTTTGCTCAAGTAGGATACACTATCAGTCTGCCCCACTAGGATTCTGAAATGCCTGTTCCCAGCCCCAGCTGACCCTGCTGCCTTTCACGTCCCATATCTCAGGCAATGTAGGCAGAAGGCAGGTTAAGCAGGCTGGGCTAGAGCCCCTTCTACAGAGACACTGTAGTTGCAGGCTGCTGCTTCCTTAATGCAAGGAGAGCAAGAACTGAGGCCTGGGCCAGCCTTGGGAGGGAACCATAAGGACGGAGGGAGTCTTCCCCTCCAACACTCACCCCCTTTCCCAGGTGCTGTGTGTCTTCCTTTTGAACTTGCTGCAGCGTATCTCTGCCCAGCCCTTGTGCAGACAGGAGGAGTTCTCTGTGGGGGACGAGTGCTGCCCCATGTGCAACCCAGGTAGGAGCTCCCAGGAGGCTGTGCCAGGGAAGAACTCCTGTCCTGAGTCTCTGGGTCTCTGGGTCTTCAGTCCAATGGCTGTACAGTGTTCATTTCAGGGATAGTCCCTGGCAGCCTGTAGTCCTCAGTGTCTGGGATCATTGGAGTTGCACTGCCTGGGGTGGGTCTGGGGAATAGGGCAGGCTCTATGTCAGCATAACCTGAGTCAGAGACTGAAAGTGAGCTGGGGTCAGAGCCAGTTCTGTGTGGTTTAGGTGGCCCCACTCCCGAATTGCTCATAGAGGGTACACAGAAGGCAGATGGGCCAGCAAGTCCTGTGGGGCCTTAATTGTGGTTGGTGTCATACTTGCTGGACCCATGTGAGGGTACAGGGAAGGCTTCTGTAGGTTACCCCTCACCTCCACTGAGGAACTGTGGGTCCTGGCTGCAGGTTACCACGTGAAGCAGGCCTGCAGTGAGTACACAGGCACAGTGTGTGCCCCCTGTCCCCCACAGACATATACCGCCCATCCAAATGGCCTGAGCAAGTGTCTGCCCTGCGGAGTCTGTGATCCAGGTAGGAGCTCCTGAGGAGGTGGGGTGTGCTGGAGCACTTGAGCTCAGGCGTTAGCTCCTGACCTTCCTGCTACTGTGAGCAGGTTCTCAGTTTGTCTGCTCCCCCTCTGGTCACTGAGATCTCACTGTCTGCTTCTTTTTCTCCCCTTTTATCTGGTTCATGTGGGTGATGAGAGGCTCTTTCCTGCCTCAGTTTCCCTGCCTGTGAAGGAGCTCTTACATGGGGTGGGGATTAATGTCACACACACACACACACACACACACACACACACACACACACACACAC